ACAGCCCTAGACGGAGCTGGGATCCGCAGTGATTTCACCAGCTTCACTTTTTAGATCTCTGCTTGCAGCTGATTTCCTGGCACAACAGTTACCTCAAACTTCACGGTGACTCGAAACTCAGCAGGACTTGAGCTTAAACCGGTAATCTCTTTGGACATAACGAAGGCTCTAATATTCTTTGTTTATTTTCTCTTTGTGTTTAGTCTAAGTAATTTCTTCCTGGCATTAAGGGAGCTTTATCTTTTCCTGTTTGTTCCCAATTGCTGTTCACTGGCCTGTTTCTCCTCCCTCTCATATTGTCTTTCTATTTTTGTAGAAAGATTTTTTTTTTTACTTTTCCCCTCTTTCTTATTCCTAAATTTGATAAAAATCCTCCAGCAGACTTCTAAGTAGAAGTTAAACCCCCAAAGAGAAAGTCCCTGAGGAGAAAGCACAGGTGGGGCTGCCCCAGGGAGACAGCTCTGATGCCTGTGTGCTGCGATTGATGACACTACAAAAAGGCGTTAGACAAGGCACTCCTCACGGCTTACAGAGAGGAAGCTCAGCGCTCAGAGCATCTCTCACCACAGAATTCAATAAACACGGAAAGGCACTCTGGGATATTCTGTTCAAAGAAAAGAGCTTCTTATTCTTTTAGTTTCATGATCTTGTAGAAATTGACTTTTCGAAAGGCGGAGCTTTGTCCAGGTTTGCACACATGTTTTCTGAGGAGTGCCCTTGCTTCTTGTTGTTAGTTGGTGTCAAGTCGATTCTGACTTAAGGGGATCCCACGTCTGTGGAGTAGAACTGCGCTGATTAAGGTTTTCCAGGGCTGTGACCTTTTGGAAACAGAGCTGAAGGACTTATTCTGTGGCATCAGCATAAATGGGTTTGAACCACCAGTCTTTCAGCTAGTGTTCAAGTGTTTAACTGCTTGTGACACACAGCACACTTTGTTTCCTGCTGTTTGGAATCTAATACAAATGTTAGCTCATTGGAGCAATTAAAATTTACTCTCCATTTTAATTAAAATGGAAGAGTATTTTCCAGTTGTTGTGCATTTTAGAGTCAGAACCAACACATAGCGGACCCTCCAGTAGGTTGTTTTTTGTTCTTTATTTTTTCATTTTCTACTAGTTTATTTACAAAATTTGAATACATTGTTTTAAAGAAAAAATTCCTTCAATTTTCCTCACCCCGCCCCATCAAATTGTACAACTCCATGATTAATCCTTCCTTCCCCCCTGCACATCTTCATCCCTCTGCTCCCACCCCCTCCCACTCCTCTTGGATCCTTATACTCATTCTACAATAAAGGTTTTATACAATATTATCCTTTTGGGACTGAGTTAGTGCACTCAGCATAATGCTCACCAGTCCCTCCCAAGTTAGGTAATAATTTACAAAATCATTGCTCCTGCGTGCTGCATAGTATTCCATTGTGTGAATGTACCACAATTTCTCAATCCATTCATTTGTGGTTGGACATTTTGACTATTTATTAACAGACAGAGCCTATAGACTTATTTCTTCTTGGACACAACCTCAGTATGGCCCTGACATCCTGTGGTCTTGGTGTGCTTGCCTGAAACTCGAAGGCCTCAGAAGTGGTGCAGCCCTCTGTGGGCACGGGTCTTCTTCAGTCACTCCAGGTCTTCATGGAGCTTGTTGTCCAGACCATTGGCCAGAACCTGACTGTATTTCCCATCTTTTTGTCTGTTCATGAACCAGTCTGGGATCTTGTACTGCCGTGGAATCTGCATAATGGTGATCACACGCTCCACCTCCTCTTCAGTGAGCTCTCCTGCCCTCTTGATTAGGTCAGTTTCTGCCTTCCTCAATACCACATGAGCATGTCTTCACCCTACACCCCTAATGACAGTGATGGCAAAAGCTATTTTCCACCGCCCATTGATGTTAGTGTTGAGTACTCACAAAAGTGTGCTGGAACTTCTCTGGGATCTCTAGCGACATGGTGGCAGCAGCAATGGCTGCGTGTAGGCCTCTGGTGGAAGACCCAGTAGGTTTTCAGAGGCAGTTAATCACACAGGAGGAGATTACCCATCCTTCTCTGGTAAAGCAGCTGGTGGCCTCGAATCACATGCGTTTGGGATTGCAGCATAGTTTTTTTTTGCCATTAAGCTGCCAGGGTGGAATATGTGCGTGTGCATGTATGTATGTATGTATATGTGTGTGTACATGTGTGTCTGTGTATATTTATGCAGAGCTGTAGCCTCCCCCACCCCTCTGCTGTATTCAGGCTCCCTACAGCCACATCCCTGTCCTCCCATTCTGACCCTCCCCTAACCCAGCGAGGGCTTTGTTGCTAGATTTATAGGCTCTAGGACTGGAGCTTATTAGAGACCAGAGTAGGGCATGAGAGATTGAGATGGTAGGCATAGGAGAGGACTGAAGACAGGACAGGGCCAGTACACCTGTGAGATGCTGCAGTTTCGCCTAGAACAGCCTTGAGAAGTGAGGCCTGTTGTCTTGGAGAGGACTCCAGCTCACACTGGGAAGCTGCCTGGGATGTGTAGGGTGCAGAGGAATGGCTCAGATGACCTCTGCACGCAGCCGCTGAGTCCCTGGGAGAGAAGAAAGAGGATAAGAGGAGACAAAGGTCAAATGTCTCAGAAGCCACTGGCCCTACCAGGGTGATACTGTGCCCACCAGAGGAGGATAGTGTAGGGGCATTCTCATATTTGGCGAAAGACATTATTTGAGATTGAACTTGATACAAGCCTGAATAGAACACATAAATAAATGATGTAGCTCAGATCGGTGCTATGCTCAGCCTTCCTTGGGTGGTGGGTGTGGTTTGAAAAGAGGAAGGTGGCTGGTTGAAGTGAACAGCATCATCAAAGGGGTGGAGTTGAGGATTTGCATGTGTCTTCATGTGCTGTAAGAATTTCACACATTTTAGATGATTTTCCTGATATTTAGTACAGATATGATGGGTAATAAGTTTGAGTCCCCAGCCTAGGGAAATGCACCATGTACAGGGAGCGGCAAAGCACAATGATGTAAATAAACCTAGAAATGGAAGCAGCGTTTCAGCAAGATTTAAATAAGATTGTCAACCTAGAGAGGGTCTCTATTGGCATGGGTCTCTGCAGTTGGTCCTATATTGTGGAATGTAATGATTTCAAGAAAGAAAAGCAAGAACTGCTTAATAGATAGCAGAAAGCTGTGTGTTATCACAAATCCTAAGATGATAGAAGTGAGATTCGAAAACATTTTGCAAAAAAAAAAAAAAAGGAAAACATTTTGCCAGATTGGGCTATACCCCACAGACAAAATGAAATTTAGTAAAAATGGTGTGAAGCCCAACTCTCCAGTTCCAAAGTATCGGTTGTCTAAGCACAGACTCAAAACCAGCAGATGTAGGTGAAACTAGCTTTTCGTGATAAACTGAGAAAAAATGAGGGGTGGCTGAGGGTTTGGGTCAGCATAGGAGTTGGGGACCCACCAAAATATGTCCTTCCTATAGTCAGGACACTGCACTTTGGGAGCTGCATGGCCTCAGAATATGTTAAGTTGGAAAGTATAGCTCTGGCGATATTGTCCAGAGAGAGCGGTGTTGCTAAGTCAAAGTTGTCACCTCTCTAGCGATTTGAATCTATAACCTGTTCCATGGGAGGCAGATGAGGCAGCCTCCTCTCATGTAATTTACAGCCTCTGAAAACCTGCTAGAGGGTTAGCTAGGAGTTGGGTCTCGCTCAGTGGCAATGAGTTGAGGTAGGTATCTAATGCTGCTTTAACAGGGATATCACAAGTGGATGGCTTTAACAAACAGAATTTATTCTCTTATAATAAGGAGGCTGGAAGTCCAAATTCAAGGTTCTAGCTCTAGGGAAATGCCTCCACTTTCTGCATCTACAAGCCTGATGTTCCCTGGAGACTTACAAGTGTTCTGTCCTTCCTCTGTATTAAGCAACTTCATCACACAGGGAGTAGGATCCAAAAAGACACACTCTACTCCAGGCTATTATTTCTTGGTGGGACTAAGCTTTCCCCTACCCCTCATCCTTGGCTCAATGTCCTTCACTTTTATCTAAAAGGGGGTTCTGATTGTGTAGTCCATAGTGCATAGTGTTGCCACTCCAAAGGCTTCATGTTGGGCTAAGGATTTATGATTTCTTGTAGAGAATTTGGAAGCTCAGTGACCTCTGACAGTGGAAATAAAACAAAAAGAGTGCTGGAACAAAGCCAAGGCAAAGGTGTTCTCATTGTTATTGTTTAATTTACTTCATACAACCAACTGTCTTTATGATGGTACCTAGTCCTTGTCTAGGTACAGAGGGTGTAGAAGTGAACTCACCAAAGATTTCCAGAATGTTGATCAGTTGGGGGAGTAATGTCTGTGAAGGGGCACAAAGAAACGTTACAGGGTGAAAGAATGTTCTAAATCTTCATCTATATAGCTGGATAGATTTGAGAGAACTCATAGAATTATAGACTTAACATGCATGCGTTTTATTTTATGTATGTTATATCATGGGAGAAGGATGGGCAATCTCCCCTCTTTTGATTTCTAGCCTCCGTAAACTTGTTGGAGAGTCAGTTATAAGTTGATTCTGTCTTGATGGTAAAGAATGGAATTGTTGAGTTTGGGGCCTTCAAATGGTTGAGCACTAGAACATCTGACTACCAACCAAAAAGGGTGGCTTGAATCCACTCAGAGGTGCTGCAGAATAAAAGCTTGATGATTTGTTTCAAGATCAAACAGTGCAGTTCTGCTCGGACAAACATGGATGGGGTCACCATGAGACAGAATCAGCTTGACAACAACTATTTTGCTCTTTGGCTTTATATCTAGATAAAGTTGGTATTAAAAATCCCTGTCCTCATGAACTTTTCATCCTCATGAGAAAAGAGATGTAAGCACATAATTATCAAGGGTGAAGCAGTGGGACTGATAATGATAAAATCTCAGGGGAAGGAGGCAGGGGATGGAGTTTCCTGGGAGGAGAAGGAAAAGGATTTCAGAAATGGTTTTGCTCAGTCTCTGTCTTCCCCAGGAGTATGAGTGTCTGGAGCAGGAGAACACAGTGCTGCGGAGGGAGATTGGGAAGCTGACAGAGGAGCTGAAGCACTTGAGCGAGGAGCTGAAGGAGCATGAGAAGATGTGCCCGCTGCTTCTCTGTCCCATAAACTTCGTGTCGGTGCCTCGGCCGGACCCTGTAGCTGGATGCTTGCCCCGGTGAAGCCCAAGGACCACCTCTGTGTAGTGCAAAGCCCACTCCTTACAAAGGCCATGAGCCTAGAGCACATAGGGCACAGCCTTCTCCATCGAGCCCAGGAACCTGCATGCTTGCAGATCAGGCTCCTTGAGTGCCTGGTTCTAGAGCCCTGGAGTGGATGCAGGAAAAGATGTCACCCTCAGGAATCACTTTTTATACACTTTGGCAGCTAATTGATTGTGCACTGTTACACAGAATCATTTTCTTCAGTATTTGAATAATAAAGATGATTGTTTAGTCTCTTATTTCTCCGAGTTCTTGGAATTTAGGAGCACAGCACACTTTTTCTTCTTGAAGAGGCTTTCTTTTATCTCTTTGGTTGTGTGGCTCATGGGTCTTGCTGTCCCCTTCTGTTCCTCTCCTGGACAGCCGTGGTGGACAGCCATGGTAGACAAGGCAGCCACCTTAAGGGGCAGCAGAGAAAAGGACAACCAAACTTACTCGTGCTTTCAGAAGTCAGACCCAGCTGAGTCATGGAGGAGTGTGTTAGGAATGATTAATGCTTATCTTTTTTTTCTTTTTTTAAATTAATTTTAATAAACATTTACAGAGATTTTGGATTTCCATTTATTCATTGCCACACTTTTCTCCCTGCCCACCCCTCCCCACCATTTCGCACCCCTCTCTGAAAAGAAATTAGTATACATTTAGTATACAATTACCCCATCCCTTCCCCCACACCCCCCACCCCGAGTACACTTCTCTATGCAAACTTAATTCTGGATTCCTGTGCTAACCATAATACTCAATCATATAGCACCTCTAATCTGTTCTTTCCCTCATCTGTTTCGATCTTAAAGCTTTGCTAGCACCTAATCTTGGCTAGCTCTCATATCCATGCTGCGCTGTCATGGAAAAGTTTTCTATCCCAGGCTGACTTTCTGCTCTGAGGGTTCCTAGGTCACTTCACTATCTCATCAGCAGCTATAGGATCAGGTAACGTGTGTGTCGGCATTACCAGATTCACAATTGACTGTGAAGAGAAACCTGTTCCCTTAAACAAACAAATTATTTCGACAGATGAGGAGAGGAGCAATTTCCTTTCAAAAGTCTCTTTCAGCTCTATCTATCAGGAAAAGCAAAGCCCAGCCAGTGAGCATTGGTCTCAGAGAGGACAGCAAACTGAGAAAGCACTCCCCACCCACTCTAATCCTCCTCTTCCCTGGAACAAGATGGGGACTGTGGAGGGTGGAGCCATGCTGTCACATAGGGAACAAGAAATGAGAACAGAAAGGAAAGTTCTTTGTTGCAAAATTAGAAGATTTTTAAAAAAGAAATAAAAATAACTAAATGGGTGGATGCCCTGTCCAGGGGGCTGGTCTTGCTGACTTCATACAATCATTATAGTCTACTAAGTGGTATAGCACTGGTCTCTCCACTTGCTGTACAGAGGTAACTCGTGGTTGTTGTGATGCTAAACTCTGTGACACAGATGTGTCAAATGTGAAAATGGTTACTCATGGTGGACAGTGTTTGGTGGAGCTCCCCGATTAAAAACAAGTTGGAAAGGAGGAGTGGCATCCACTTCTGAAATAGCTTGCCTCAAGAAACCCTATGAAGTGGAGAAACAATGAAAGTTATACAAGTGTTTCATTCATAGGGTCGCTATGAGTGGTCTATGACTCGATGGCACCTAAAAACAACAGCTTCCCATGAGCCCCCTTTCATGGAGAGGGCTCACTTCTGTTGGAGGCCAGCCTGGTCTCTAACTCTCAAAAATTTCTATAGTTAGAGATGCTGGAAGACTATGCCTCCTGGGAATGTCAGTCACAGCTTCCTGGCTACAGTAGTCATTGGGGGATGATGGAATCTTTTAGGGCAAGTGATCTTAAAACCGTGTGGTCAGATGCCTTCACTATGCAGATGGCTAAGGTGCTGAGAGAGAACGGCACTTGTCCAAGGTGAGCATCAGAGCCAGCATGAGACCCTGTGTTTCCACTGTTGAGTTACTAGAGTCAGGCTGAAGCTGATCAATAAGGAGTTGGAGCAGGGTGCTGCTCCACTGGCACCCCAGCAGTAGCAAGTCCGTTAGCATCTCATAACATCGAAGAGTGTATATGGTGGTGGTGTTATGTGCTGTCGAATTGCTTGTGACTAATAGCGACCCCTATGTACAAGAGCCTTGAAACCTGCTCTATCCTGTGCCAACTTTACTGTCAACACACATAACCTCATTACCCCAGTTACTCTATCAATCCATCTCATCTTTCTCTGTCCTCAACCCTTCCAGGCATGATATCCCTCTCCAGGGACCAGTCCCTTCTTGCAACATGCCCAAAGTATGTCAGATGAAGCTTCAGAATCCTTGACTCCAAGGAGCATTCTGGCTTCACTCTCTCCAGGACAAACCTGTTTGTTCTCCTAGCAGTCCATGGTATATTCAACACTGCAGCACCACAGCTCAAAGGCAACAATACTCTCTCTATCATCCCTAGTCATTGTCCAGCTCTCTGATGCATAGCATGCATAGCAAGCAATTGCAAAGACTATGGCCTGGATCAGTATATATATATATATATATAGTACATAGAGGGTATATGCGTAGTACAGGTGAGCCAGAGGTCTGTGAAGGGTAGACTTGGAGCCAGGCTCCAGGGGACTATGTGACTGTGAGTGTGAATATGTGAATGTGTGTGAATCCTAAATGCAGGCACCTCACTACTGCTTTCATTAAACCCCAGCAGACTTCTTGGCCTGTAGGAATACTTTGTACTCTGGCCAGGTCACCACATGACCCTGCAGTGCTTTCATGCTCTCCTGGCTTGCTAGTTCCCTTACCTGACATGAATTCTATCTATTCCCCTGCTCCAGCCTTTCATAGTCTCTGTTGCTAACCCTTTCCAGTATCCTAACCTGCTGGCCTCATTGGACTGATTGTCCTAAAGTGCAGTCCTTCCTGACTGTATACTGTATCCTGGCTCCATGTAGTCATTTAAGGACCAAGCTTCTTTAAGGACCATACCATACAGGAGACTAGGAAAGAGAAAATCCATGGAAGATGAAAGGGTTATGACCAGACCTAAAATTTACAAATACTAGAAGCTGCTGATGTCGAGTTGACTCCGACTCGGGATACAAATGCTCAGTCATAACCAAATTGTTGGTGGTTCAAACCCACCCAGAGGCAACTAGGAAGAAAAGTCTAATGATTTGATAGTGGTGGGAAACCCAACATTTGCTGAGCTTGATTTCTAAGAATCTCCTTTTCAAGATTCCAGTAACATTAGAGAGGGTACTCAGTCCCTGAATCCTCCTGTGAACAGGGATATATCCCCTAAAACCCCAGGAAACTATTGTTTCCATCTGGGGCAAGGAGAGCAGAACAGTTGCTGGGGTGGGTTTGTGAGGTTGTATCCACACTGCTGCTATGCGCCAGGCTTGGGGACACTATTTGTTGGGCTGGAGAGAAGAGAGGCAACTGAGAAAGCCACCTCACCTCACAACCCAAAGAACCCCCTGTAACCCCTAGACATAGAAAATGTTTAATAGGGAGGAAACCCTTTCTTCAAACCCACGCAGCCATTCCACTTCCTGTCCACAATCACCGCTATTGCACCAGCCCAGCCTTGAGGCTCAGGGTTTCCGTCAATGAATGAGGCCTCCATGTCAGCCCCAAACTGGAACAAGAACCACACTGACAGAAAAGAGATCCCAAAACCTCTTCTTTCCCATCAATGATAAGGTCTCCAAAGTCAGAGTACACTTACTGGCAGGGGTTATGGGCTACACTTGAGTGAGAGTGGGAACAAAAATTTGGCCCCAGATCTTACTGACATAGCTTCTTTCTTATGATAACCAGGAAGTGTGACCAAGTTAATTAAGGATGTCACTAAGGCCGGTGCCACGGTACAGTAAGAGTGTCACAAACGCCCAGAAATGGACTCCCCACTCCACTTTAGACCTTAGTAATGTTGGGCGTTTGTTTTAATCACAGATTAATATGTGATAAAGAGAAACTGCTTAAATGTAATTTTAGAGTATATGAATGCTAATAAGAAAATTTTATAAAATCTGCACTAAACCATTGTAACATTATGAGTTACTGTTTTTCTCCTTCTTTTCCTTTAGTTACTGCTTTAGTCTCTAAAATATTATTGACAGATGTTTACAAATTGCAATTATCACAATATTATAGCAAAAATACTAAAAGTTTGTCAGAATCAGTGACTACAACATGGACAGTAATGTAAACAAGTGTCTGCTTCAAGTGAGTGCAGACGAGATGAACGATTTGAAGTACCATTGTAATTGGGTGATAAGGACAGCTTTGACTGGAGTGTATTGTTGTTGTTAGCTGCCAGTCTTTGAGTCCCCTCTGACTCATAGATCCCCTCCCCTGCACCAGGCTCATGATCTGGGCCGTGCTCAAGCACATTGTTCCAGTCAATGTATCACTCCAGCTTGTTGACGGTCTTTCTTTCTCCGGCCCTTCACCTTTCCCAGCATGATTTCCTTTTCTGGGAACTGATTCCTCTTGACAATCTACCCTAAGTATGTGAGGCAAATTCTTCACCTTCTCTGAGGAGCATGCTGGCTGCACTTGCTTCAGGGCAGAATTACTTGTTCTTTTGGCAGTCCGTGATAGCCAACATTCTTCTCCAACACCACAATTCAAAAGCACCTATTCTTCTTTCATCCTTATTCACTTTCAGATGCACAGGAAGCAATTGAAAATGTACCATGGATTAGATCAGGCATATTTTACTGTTCTTACTCTTTAAATTGATATCCTCGCTGTTCAGCACTTTGGAGAGATCCTTGACTGGAGATTTTCCTGATTTAACATGGCTTTTAGTTTCCTAATGCTGTTACAATGGATATTGATTGTGGAACCAAGTAAAATGAAAAATTGTTGATAACTTCATTTTTGTCTCCATCTATCAAAATATTGTCTGTTGCTGCAGTGGTGAAAATTTTCTTAATTTTTATTTTATTAATTATTATTAATTTTAATGAAAATTTAC